TTCCATGTGGGCTTTGTTGCTTCTGAGCTAGATGGCCGCTTGATTACCTTCAAGCCTTTAAGTCGTGTCACTTTCATGCGGTGGGGCTTGCATGTGGCCATAATGCTGTAGGCAAAGGTATTTTGAATACCATCAGGGTCACGCACGGAGGAGAGATTGCAGGGAAGCTTCTAGATTAAGAACAGATTACAAAAAGGACACGGAAATATACTTCTAAACATGTCCACGGAGAAGTACATGGAAATATATTTCTAAAAATAGACCAGTGAAAACTTTACAAACAGCAGACTACTGCCCGATGTAGTGCCGATAATTGGCCCTTCAGGTTGAAGGCTCTCAAAATACAACCAGAAAGAGCTGCCTTCTAAAGTAGAGCCAGCTTTAACGGCCTGGATGGAACAAAGCTTTTAAGACCTTCCTTTCCTGATACTGCACACATCGTAAAGAAAAGAAACAGTTGCAAGTATCCATTAATCAACACGGGGGGAAAAGTCAACATGGAATGGAAGCAGTGTGAATCTAGGAAAAGAGTCTCAAAAATGAAATGGACCTCATCTTGGGCCTTTATAAGCTGACCTGGAATGGTGTTGGCTGTTCTGAAGCAGACAGTCCTATGGTCCACTGTGGAGGCAAAGGCAAACGGAAGAGGAAATGCGTTGCATACATTGTTAAAAGAAACATTTTCAAGAGCTAGCCTCAAGTACAGGGCTATAAAGAACTCTGACTATTATTCGCACTTATGTACCACCCACTAATGCCAAGATGAAGAAATTGAAGATTTTTACCAACTTCTTCTTCAGTCTGAAATTGATCAAGATGCAGTGATAATCACAACAGTAACTGGCATGTGAAATTATATCAAAAGAATGATGAGCAGCAGGTGTGATCATAAAACAGATTTTTGTAAGACCAATGGCTTATTCACCTTAAATACCTTTTCGGCAACATAACCAGTGATTACACACATGGAACTGTCAGATGGAACACAAAAGAATCAAAACAACTACATGTGCGAAAAAAAGACAATGGAGAAGCTCAAAATAATCCATCAGAGCAAGGCCAGGGACTCACTGGGACAAGATCATTAATTGTTCAAACTGAAATTAAGAAAATTAAAATAAGTCCACGAGAGTCAATATACGTCCTTGAGTATATCCCATCTGGATTTAGAGACCATCTTACGAATAAATTTGACACAATGAACCCTAATGACCAAAGATCAGATGAGTTGTGGGATGATATCAAAAACATCAAGCATTGACACACTGGATAAATGTATGGATTGTGATAAGAGATATAAGAGCACCCAATAAAAGTTGTTTTTTCTTTAAATCAAGCATACAGAAACCACTAATAACACAGAAGCCATTAATAAGACAGGAACAAAAGACCAAAATGGATGTTACAAGAGATCTGAAATTTGCTTTTGAACAGAGTAGCTAAATGCATGGAAAAAATAACAAAAGCTGAACAGAAACTGGTAAAGGCTTGGGAAGACACTGTACTAAAATATGCAAACACCTGGAGTTAGAAAATTGAAAGGGAAGAACACAGTCAGCATTTCTCAGGTTGAAAGTAGTGCAGAAAATAATTCAAGCCTCAAGTTGTAATAACTGAAGGATTTGGGAGGCAAACTGTTGAACAACTCAGGAGCTATCTAAAGGGAATGGATGGAATACACAGAGTCACTATACCAAAATGATTGGTTGGTGTCCAACCAGTGTGGGAGGTAGTATACGATCAAGAATCTAAGGTATTAAAGGAAGAAATGCAGGCTTTACTTGAAAGCATTGGTAAAAACAAGGCTCCAGAAACTGATGCAAGCCTACCTGAAATGTTTCGACAAACGCTTGCTGGGCTAGCGGTGCTTATTTGTTTAAGGCAAGAAATGGGCAGACAGTTATCTAGCCAATTGACTGGAAGAGATCCACATTCTAAGGAATGTCAGCAAAAGAGATGCAGGACTAGACAAGTGTTTTGTTCTGTTGCACACAGGGTCACTAGGATACAGAACTGACTCCAGAGCACTGAACAACAATCAAGGTGTGGAGAACATAAACAATCTAAGTTCCTGTTGACACAGTGTCCCTATGCACGACAGAGCAAACCGTTGCCTTGTCCTGTGCCACCCTCACAATTATTCCCACACCTGAGCCTATTGCAGACCACTGTGTCAATCCTTCTCCTTGGAGGCTTTCCTCTTGTTCACTGCCCCTCTACTTTACCAAGCCTAATGTCCTTCTCCAGGGACTGGTCTCTCCTCACAACATGACCAAAGTATAAGTCTTACCACTCTGGCCTTAAGGTGCACTCTGCTCTCACGTCTTCTAAGACAGACCCCTTTGTCCTTCAGCAGTCTCTGGTACTTTCGGTATTCTTTGTTAACACCACAATTCAAAACCATCGGTTCTTCTTCATCGAGTCCTCCTTATTCAATGTCCAAATTTCACATGTGTATGAGGCAATGGGAAATCTCATGTCTTGAGTCAGGCACACATTAGTCCTCGAAATAACATCCTTGCTTTTTAATCATCTAAAAAGGTCTTGTGTAGATTTACCTTTCACATGCATATGAGGTCATTGAAAATACCAGTTGGGTTAGGCACATCTTAGTCCACAAAGTAAACTCTTTTCTTTTCAATACTCTATAAAGAGTTCTTGTGCAACAGACTTGCCCAATGCAACACATCTTTTCATCTCTTGATGGCTGCTTCCATGAGCATTGATTGCGGATCCAAGCAAGACAAAATCCTTGATTTCAACCCTTTCTCCATGTATCAGGACGTTATCTACAGGGAGGATTTTGCGTCCTAATCCACACAGCAATCCTTGATCTTCATCAGCAAGTCCTCCTCACTGTCAGCAAGCAAGGTTGCGTCATCTGCATACCTAGGTTGTTAATAAGCTTTCCTCTAATCTGCTGTCACATTCTTCTTCATATAATCCAGCTTCTCTGAGGAATTGCTCAGCATACAGATTTATTAGGTATGGTATGATGACACAAGCCTGTCACACACCTTTTCTGATTCTAAATCATGCAGTATTCCCTTGTCCTGTTTCCACAACTGCCTTTTGATCCATGGACAGGTTCTGCATGAGCACAATGTAGTATTCTACATTGAATGAGAAGATTCCCATTCCTCTCAAGGCTATCCATAGTTTGCTACGGCTCACACAGTTGAATGACTTAGCATAGTCAAAACACAAGTAAACACCTTTCTGTTTTCTCTTTCAGCCAAGATCCATCTCACACCAGCAATGATATCCCAATCTGTAGTGCCATGAATCATTTAATGATTAATGACTATGGCTCTTCTAGACAAAGTCTTTGTAACTCTCACCAAAGAACTTTGTCCAAATGTGTAAGAGAAGGTAAGGAAAAATGCTTAAAGATTCAGTTATGAGTGATGGTTAAAAGAGTTAAGTGTGGTAACGAGTAGCAATACCATGAGAGTAGGGGGATGGTGGGGGAAGAAGGGGGAGAAACAGGGAACTGATCGCAATAATGGATGCACAACACCCCCACCACGGGGGATGAACAACAGAAAACATGGGTGAAGGGAGACAGTGAACAGTGTAAGATATGGAAATAATAATTTATAATTTATCACGAGATTGGGGGGGAGGGAGGGAAAAATAGAGAAGCTGATACCAAGGGCTTGAGTAAAAAGAAAATGTTTTGAAAGTGACGTAGGCAACATGGGTACAAATGTGTTTGATACAATGAATGTATGGATTCTTCTAAGAGCTGTAAGAACCCTCAATAAAATGATTAATTTTTAAAAAAGGGTTAAGTGAGATTGCATTCCTGCTTGGTAGTAAAAGAGCCTCCTCTTGGACCAGCAACAGTAGAACCAAGAATCCGAGCATGAGGCCAAGTGGTGGATTCCCTGTCCCATGGAGCAAGCACAGCTGATGCTTTCGGGAGGGGGCTAGCTTGTGCACTAGAGAGCCTCTAAGAACTGAACTGCGGGAGTTAGGTTTGCAGACCATGGTGACAGAGATGAGCGTTCAGGTTGAGCACTTATTGTGCAGTGGTACCCTCCGTGGGCATTTATTGGTAGCCCTATAAGAGCTCTGTAACATTGCTTGAACAGGACATAGAGCAAGGGCCCATGTGGCTAAGAGATCAAGGACTAGAGAGAGGACGGCCTTTACGTACGGCTGAGTAGAGGTGGTTTTGTCTAAATAATTGTATCCTGATTACTAGTAAATTGTTAACTCCTTAGTAACCCTCATAATCATTGAATTCTGGCTGTGAGTTGTGTGGCCATCTCAATATATAACTGAACCCAGCGCAGAGTGCTGTGGGAGGCTAACTGTTTCAGGACTAGGGAGGGAACTGGAGGGTAAAGCCTTGTCTGACTCAGCTTCACGGAGGAAATTGGCCTTGAGCAAGTGATGGTGATAACGGTGATCCTAATCCGCCTCATTAACCAGAAGCACTCAGAATGGCATCCATGTTATTTCTCCAGTTACAAAATTTTTCATTAAAAAAAAAAAAAACTTACCTCAATTTCTATGTTTTTTCTGACTATATATATATATTAAGCACTGTGCAAAGCAGAAGATAAACATGGTTAAGCACTGTGCAAGGCAAAATACAAACACGGTTTTTGTATAAGACTAACCTTTGTTTGTCGTAACTGTAGGCAATGTTTGGAAGATACTGCTTCAGTTCTACAGGAAAAACTGCAGGCACATCAAATTCCTGATAACAGACATTGGCTGCTTTCTCTAGGGAGGAGCACATAATTTTTAGTAACAGAACCATGAAACAAGGTCATAGAAAACAATACTGGATTGTGATACTTGGTAAATGATGGCTAACGTGTCAGAAAATGCTTAAAAGTTATTCACACAGAACACACACACTCTGAAATTACCTTTTTTCCCTTAACTTTTTTGACATACAAACAAAAGTATCAGTCTTCACATTTATGTTTCCCTAACATCAAAGAGGCCTGGTGGCACAGTGGGTTACACACTGGATTGTCATTCAAAGCCACTGGAGTAAAATGAGGTTTTCTGTTCCCATAAAGATTTGCAGCCTTGGAAACTCACAGGGCAGTTCTACTCGGTCAAACAGGATCGTTCTGAGTTGGAATTGACTCAGTGGCAGCAAGTCTGTTTTGTTGGTTTGTGCTTGCTTTTTCTGTTTTATTTCTTTTCCAGTTATAAAGCCTTTGCTAAAATTTGCTATCATTATTTCCCCCAAAGCTCTAACATGTGCCCTCATAAAGTTACAGTTATTTAGGGACTTCGAATAGCTGAGAAATTAAAACTCAACTGCTTTGGTCACTCAGTCATATATCTACAGCCAAGCCCTCAAATTAACCTTGAAGTAACCTCGAATTGTCACATACACAACTCACACAATTGTCACATACACATACACAACAATGGATTTCTATTTAAAATATAAATGTTAGTCATAGTCATTGTAGAACGTATGGCCAATCTACGAGAGCCAGCTTACCATTTGAACAATTGTTAACATACTGTCCGAGGGCCAACGGGTTATGCAGCTCTGAAGTCAGCCATGTACTGTCACTCATTTCTAAAGGGCCAAGCCGGTCCCTTCCAGTACAAGATCTGAAACAGGTTAAGACATTAGCTAAGGGTTACTCTTCTATCTCAAAATCAAATTAAAAAAATAGCCCTAAAACTAAACATGTACACTTTATCTTAAAACAAACAAACTTTAATCAAGGGGAGGTGGGGGGGGAGGGGGGAGCTGACTCCAGGGGTTCAATAGAGAGCAATTGCCTAGAAACCGATCATAATGATCAACATCTAACCCTCTCCCAAGGGGATGGATAACAGAAAAGTGGGTGTAGGGAGACAACAGTCCGTGTAAGACATGAAAAAATAATAATAATTTATAAATTAACAAGGGTTCATCAGGGAGGGAGGGCGGAGGAGGGAGGGGAAAACGAGGAGCTGATACCAAGGGCTCAAGTAGAAAGACATCATCATTTTCAAAATGATGATGGCAACAAATGTACAAATGTGTTTGACACAATGTATGTATGGATTGTGATAAGAGCTGTACGAGCCCCAATAAAATGATTTAAAAAAATAGAGCCCTCAATAAAATTTTTTAATAACTTTAATCAATAGGACAAGTGAGAGGCTACATAGCAGACCCTAAATGGATTTCTATTTAAAATATAAATGTTAGTCATAGTCATTGTAGAACGTATGGCCAATCTACTTGTACATGGGCATCAACTTACCTGTACACAACTTTTGATATCCCTTTGTCATTTCCATCAATGAGCACCCCGTCCAGGCATCTAAAAATAAATGGATTTCCAATGGACTGGAAAAAGACCGGCTCATACTTCTGATAAACTGTACCTATTATATGCAAGACAAAGATACATGACAGCAACATGTAAAAATTATAGACACCATGCCAAGAACCTCTGTCTCGTACAGAAACAAAGTGCGGAAGAATTGGTTGATCTACAAACATAATAAAAGAAAATAATAATTCTTTTTCTACCATTTCAATTCCAAACTGCTATCTAGGTGATTCTGGCATATTGAGACCCCACAGAACAGAGTGGAACTGCTCCACAGGGTTCTCAAGGCTGTAACTCTCTATGGAATAAACAGACTGCCTCATCTTTCTCCTATGGAGCAGCTGGTGGGTTCAAACTACAAACCTTTTAGTTAGCAGCTCAATGCTGAACCCATGTGCCACCAGGGCTTCTTCCCTCTAGTCTAGACCATCACACTCTCTTTGGCTGTTTTTCCCTTTTCGAGTGTGCCTACCCAATAGCAAGGGGAGCAGAGACCCAACCTGTCCCCACAGCAGAATCAAATATGATTATTTAGGTTAACAACAAAATAAACATTACATTTTAGGATCGGTTTTACAAAACATCTTTTTGGGTTTTTTTTTAAGTAGATTGGTTTGACACCTATTAAAGAATATTTTAAGAAATGTGGTTTGCCAAGTAATTAAAAATACAGACACATATGAGAATAAATGAGGCTAACATTTAGGTTGTTTCTTCTCTCACCAGCTAAGGAGAGAACGTGTAAAAGTAATATTTACTTGGTGTTTCCCAAGTGTCAAGTATGGTTGATCTATTTATTAAATGCATTTTATTATTTGTTTGCTTGCTGGCTTATTCTATTTGGACTTCACAGGTTAAATCAACAAAAGCACACCCACTGCCATCAAGTTGACTGTGACTCCTATCAACCTTCTACGACAGAGTACGACTGCTCCCCAGGATTTCCAAGGCTGTTAATCTTTATAGGAGCAGGTAGCCACATCTTTCTCCCACCGAGCAGCTGATTGGTTTGAAGCACCAACCTTGTGGCTAGCAGCCCAATGCTTACTTACATCATCAGTAAAAAGGTTAGTTATGTGAGGGTTTCACAAAGTTTGCGGAAATTTTCTGTTGTCTTTCCATTAATTTTTTCCATGTACTTTTTGAAGTCACCTCATATATGGGGAAGCAGATTCCCTAGCTTAGAGCTACAAAATGTAAAAGTAGCAGTGACTTTTAAAAACATAAGTCTTAAGATATGAT